AGTATACACTGTGACTTTTCAGTCAGTGAAGTAGTACCCTTAACAATTGAGTACTAGAAAATGTTGGCTGTAAGCTGGGAAGGGTCTCGATAGATGAGAAGGAACAGAATCTGGTATAACTGAAAATACCAGCAAGCCATGAACAAAGTGATGGCAATTAACTAGTAAAAGCCATGGGCAGAATTGGTGGAATTAATGGAAATGCCATCAAAGAGAAATACCATTTGGCAAGATAACGAATACCAGGACAGCAATAGATGAAGACTGTAGTCAGGAAACTGTCAGTAAAACGAAGAGAGATGGGCTGGCAGTGATATGAAAGGGAACTAGTGGCGGCAAATGATGAATGGAACTGAGTGATGATGAAACTAAAACTGGACTGTGGTTAACTGCAGTAAAACGAAACTTATACTGATCCTGAGTCTACACAGAGATTATCCTATTCTGAAACTGATGGCAAGATAACAAATACTGAGACTGATGATCCTATACTGAAGCTGACAGCAAGATACCAAATGCCGTGACTGACAATCCTATACTGTTAACCGAAATTCCATGGCAGGCACTGCTGGCAGCAATAATGATCCTAATCTGGGTCCACATGGAGACATAACTGTACTGAGCTGAGCTGGGGTAAAACAATGGTGATGTAGAAAGTGAAGGCTGGTAAAATGATGCTGGCTGGTGAAAGTGAAACAATGCTGGCAGAATAAAAGATAAAAGCAAGTTGTGGACATAAAATTCCATGTATTGGCACAATATGAGCATACACCAATACTGTTTAGAAGAAAAGCCATGACAGAGAGTATAACTCAGAGTGACTATGCTGTTATTGTCTGTCTCCTAGTGGGTACAAGAGATAGTGGTTGTAGCAACTTAGTTACTTGTTGTTGATGACCTGTGTGTCTCCAATAACTACTACTACACTAGCTTTTATACTACAAGTCCAGAATAAAATTAGAATACTTGAAATGAGTCCTGAGTAAGTCCTTAGTACATCGATTGGTAAGAAATGATACAAAACACGTGTTCCCAGAGTTCTAAAGTAACAGCACCCACACAGTTTTACCACATATAGACTTAGTGATCAGAAAGAATTCTGCCGACATACAGATTCTTGGGCTGCTGTGTTGCTGTGGCAAAGTACACTGAAGGTAGTACACTGAAGTAGATGCATGTGGCATTGTCTTGGCATTGTAACAGTCTTAGGAAAGCTAGTGGAAAGGTTACGGTAGTAAGTCTTTTGCTGTGGAATAGGTATTTTGGTGGTGGCATTCTATTAAGTGATGCTTGATGCTGATGTCAGTGATGGCTGTGCTGAGTGATCAATGATGGTCCTAATTCCATGAGATCTGCAATCAGGTGCCTGGCAGCAATAATGAAGTGGCACATATTGATGCGGAATATGAGCTGGGAAGGGAATTTGGTGGTAAAAGTGGGTATTGCTGTGATTACAATTGTTGACTTAGGGAAAGTCTGCTAAGTGGACAAGGCATTTATTATAATGCTAAATCTGCAAATTCTGAGCATACAGAGCCTTAAGGCTCATCAATGTCCTTCCGCATCTTTGGCCACCAATATTCTTGTAGGATAAGCTCTTTGGTCTTTTCGACATCTGAGTGGCCCACTAGAAGGTAATCATGATGCTGGGTGATAATTTCTCCTCACAATGTGAAGTCTCTGGGAACATAGATTCTTCCATCATGGAGGAGTAGGTCATCTTCCTTGGTGATCCCTTCATCATGGTTGAGGGCAGTAGCTATTCTCTGGTCCCAGTTGTGGGGATTCCTCATGGCTTGCCAGATTTGATCATGCACCTCTTCTTCTGAGAGGAGTGTCAGCACTTGGAAGTGTGCCTTGGTCAGAACAACAATGTCTTGGTTGTTGTTCTTTCCTTGTTCGTGGTTGGTGCATCAGCTAAGGAGGTCTGCTTTCCTGTTGGCTGTCCCAGGTTTGTGGTGTAAGGTGAAGTGGTATTTGGCCAGCTCAGTCACCCATCAGGCTTGTTGCTGGTTTAGTTTCTGGGGTTTGTGGAAGTACTAAAGGTTTTGGTGATTGCTCCAAGTTTGGATGTCTAGTTGCACTCTTAAGAGATAGTGGCATCACTTGAAGAGAGCAATCATGATGGCCAGGAGTTCCTTGTCATAGATTTCATAGTTCCGTTTAGTGGCAGTGAGGGATTTTGACAGGAAAGCCAATGGTCTCCACTTCCCATCTTGTTTCTGTGACAATATTGCCCCAATGGCACCATCACTGGAATCCACTTCTATGCAGAAGGGTTTGGTGATGTCAGCCATGCCTAACACTACCCCTTCCATGAAACACCATTTTAAGCCTTTGAATGCCTCCCACTGCTCAGCTCCCTATTTCCAGTCTACCTTCTCAGTGAGCCAGGTGAGTGGTTTAACCTTGTTGCTGTAGTGCTCAATAAAGCATTGGTAGAAGTTGGTGAATCTGAGGAATGACTGTAACTCCTGTTTTTTGGATAGGGTTGGCCACTTCAAGATTCCTGCAATCTTGACCAGGTCCATCTGTACCTTCTCTTTGCTGATGATGACTCTCAGGTATTCAGTTTCTAGGACTTCAAACTCACGTTTCATGGCCTTAAGAAACAATTTGTTGGCCCATAGGATCTTAAGGACCTGGCAGACTATGCGGTGGTGCTCTTTGCCAGTCTTAGTGAAGATCAGGATGTCATCCAGGTATATGGTGACCTTTCCTTTAGCAATGAGGTCCTTGAAGATATCGTTCATCATCCATTGGAATGTTGCTGGGGAGTTGGTGAGGCTAAAGAACATGTTCAGGGGTTTAAAGAGCCCCCAATTAGTGCAAAAGGCAGCCTTCCACTCATCCCTCTCTTTTACCCATACATTGTTGTATCCCCATCGAACATCTAGTTTAGTGAAATACTTGGCCCTCTGCAGCTTGTCCATGAGCTCCCCAATCAGAGGTAGTGGGTACCAATTTTTGATGGTTATTTTGTTAAGCTTCTGGTAGTCCTATACTGGGTGGAGCTTCTTATCCTTCTTCTTAACAAAGAAGAAAGAGGATGCCATGGGTGATTTGGATGGGCAAATGCAGCCACTCTCCAAGTTTTCACTTAGGAACTGGTCCAATTCAGCCTGCTCCTGAGGATTAAGTGAGTATACCTTACAATCAAGACTGGCCCTTGCATTGAGGATTAGTTTTATGGTGTGATCCTAGGGTTTCAGTTTTGGAAGTTTGTCAAAGTTCTCTTTGGCAAATATGTCATAGTAGTCCTGGTAGGGTTCAGGAACAACTTCTTCAAAGGTCTTCTCCTCCTTGCCCTTGTTGGCCTGGGCTGTGAGATCATTAGCTCAGGTTTTTGCTACTCATACATGAAATTTGGGATCTATGTGCACCATTAAAATCCTATCTCCTTCCTTGTATTTGGTCCACTGAAGTGAGTCTTCGTCAGGCAGTCTGAATGGAATAGGTTGGCAATCACATCTGGCTAGCGTAACTGACCCAGTACTCCAGTTGATGATTGGGTTGTGTTGCTGGAGCCAATCATGATCCAGGAAGATGGGAGTGGTGCTTAAATCCACTATGGCCAGTTCTATATGCTCCTGGTGGTTGCTGATGGTGAGTCTGACTTCAGCATACTCTATAATGTCTCCTCCCTTGTTGCAGGTTCCATTGGCATTATATACCAGAGTGGGGTGCACAGTTATTCTGGTGGCAAGATTATATTTTGCTACCCATTATCAGTCTATGATGCTGCTGGTGCAGCCACTGTTTACAAGGGCTGATATGGAATGGGTGGCATGTGTGTCTAGTGTCTCCAGTCATAATTTGATGGTGATGTTCTGACCCTTCCCTCCTCATATGTACTGGGGTGGAGCCCATAGGTCTTCCAGTTCTCACAGGCATTGAGCCTTATGGTTGGCTCCTTTGCCTTCCTGTTCAGTTAGTCACCAGATGGTTTCAGCAACAACCTCTTTTACTTTAGTGGGGTGTACTCATTGCTGCAGAAGGGTCTTCTTCACTTCTAGGTTTGGGACCTGCTTGAGTCCTCTTCGAAGCCATTCAGGTCTGTCTTAGTGTTACTCCATGACCATTGGTCAGGTCTTCTCCTCCTTTGGTGTCTTTTGATGGCAGTAGCTGTAATCATCCTCCTCATCAGGATATTCTTCAAGGTGAACACATACCTGTAAAGGGGAGCCTCTCTTCCCTGTTCAGCCTGTTTGATCCTTGTGGATGATTGAGCTATCTATAGGAGAAGGGCTGGTTGGAATAGCTATGGTCATAGAGGCCTCTGTGCTGTGATATTTGCCATTATGGTCTCTGACTATCGCAATAGCATTCTTGTCAAGACCTGAGCACTTCACTGGCTGTTCCATCTCCAGTGGTCTACCTCTGCCATGCCTTCTCCTTAGGTGCAATTCTTGTTTAGCTTCATGTGATAACAGCAATGTGGGTATATACAAATGTGCTGTATGATATATGGATGAATCTGAAACTAAAGTCATGGCTAGCAAAGCTGAATCGCTTATTTCTTTGCCAGCTCATCTTTTACCTCTTCTATGCTGGTTGTGTCAGCTAATTCCTCTGGTCAGTCAGGATCATTCATCATGGTGCAGAGCTGGGCCTTGAAAAGTTTATAATTGCTCTTTTTCTTTGGCAGTACTAACCAGGTTTTCTTGTCCATGGGACACTTGTTGTCATGAGCCATGTGGTCCTTATGTCTACAACAGAAGCATCACCCTTCCTTTTGAAGGCAGTCTACTTCCATCAGCAGGCCCTGGCTGCCATACATGGTGTCTGACATCCTTTTTGTGCTTGGAATGCCCAGAACTGCTGGCTTTTCCAGGGGTGCCCATGCTTCCTTTTCCAGTGCCTATGCTTCAGTTTGACCCTTCTCTCTGGGTGACATGAATGTGGTAGTTCTCATCAATCCATTTCACCCTCTATTTCCACTCCTCATAGATGTGAGGTTATTTGTTATTCCCATGCATAATGGTGTCCTTGGCTCATATTCATATTGCTGCCTTGACAACTTCTTCCATTTCTTTGGCATTGTGGTACTTCTCTGCTTCTATGGTGAGCTCTTCAAAGTCAGCAAAGAACTCAATGGCAGTTTTATAATCTGACTGCTGGAGCTTCTTCCATTTGAGCTGCTTTAGCTCTATCTCTGCTGCTTCTTGGAATTGCATTCGTACATCTTCTTCAAAAGTGGGCCATTTTGGGTACCACATATGGCTGCATACGTGATCCATGTAATGTCCCACTCATTGCACCCATCATTTGAGAGCTTTGCCATTGAACATAGACATGATGAAGATGATGCAGTTGAGTGCATGCCCTCTTGCACTCATGGGAAAGCAGATAGGGAACATGGTGAAATAGGCTTTGTATTGTATGAAGAACCATTTGATGTCAGAGGATGTCCTAGAGAAGGGAGCCAAGGTTTCTAATAGTTTGGGTCAAACCCCCTTCCATGAGTTGTTGTCTTCATTGACCTTGTAGGGGGCAGGTGAGTCAGGTGGTGGTCCGGGTGGGTCAGGCAGCAGCTGTAGGTCTTGAGGTCAAGGCAGGGACTTTAGTTCATAGTCATGGTGAGGATCAGGTTTGAGCCTCTGTGGGGGTTTGGGCAGAGGTGGGGCCAGATTGTTCCTGCAAGACTCTTCGGGTGCATGGGTCGAGGGTTCTTCTTCTGGCATTCCTCTGAGAAGCTGGCTTCTGGGTGGGAGGCCTTGCTGGTACCCTTCCAGTGTGGCCAGCAGGATGGCCCGGTGATGTGAGGGGTAACTGCATTGGCTGAAGAGGGGTAGGATGGTGGCATGGTTTTGGTGTAGCCAGTTCCACATTTTTGCCACATAATGCAATACTTCATCCACATACATTTCTGCTCTGCTATCTGATTCTATGCCTACTTTCTCAATTAGTCTAGCTGCCTCAGATGTTATCCATGACCCTTCATTCATCAGTGATCTCCCTTGCCACTCCTGAAGTTCTGGCCATGTCATCACTCCCAGTTCCCATGCTGTCTTCATTAGCTGCTCTGGGTTCCAGCCAGGAACAGGGGTAGGGGGTGCCTTCTTCATCTTCCCCTTCCCCATTAAACTAGTATTGGTAGTTTATGAGCTGGGCATGCTCCCATGGGAAGAGCCAGTTCACATGATAGGTTTCAGGATATCTAGATTGCCTAACAAGAGGCTGTTCAAACTCTGGAGCATCGAACTGGTGACTCTGATCTTCGGCGAGTACCCTAAGCTCACAGCATAAGATGCTGTGGCACTCACCATTGGTGGTCATGTGATGGTCTGCAAGCTCAAAGTAGAGGGGATGGGATTGGTATTCCTTGTTATTAGTGACCCACAAGGTGTAGGTGTTGGGTCCTGAGGTTTCTCCAGTGGTGATGCTAGGATTGGCCTGACCAGGGATAGTGGGGAAATTGGGGTATTGGAGGTCAAACTCAGGGATCTCCCCTTCCTTGAGTGGAGGGAGTCAGTTTGGTGCCATGTGTCCATGATCTCTCACTCTTTGCAGTATATGTCAAACTCGCTCAGCTCTGAGACCTCATCAGGGTCAGGAGCACTGCTGCTGGCAGTGTTGTAGGTCACAAAAGGTGCTTCCCCACTTTCCTGGTTGAGGTAGAGTCAGATAGTGTGAGGTCTGATGTCTAGTCTGAGGCTGAAGGTCTCATCTTGCCTGATGTGTGTGAGAGGTCCAACATACTCTTCATCTGAGGGTCTGCTGAAGACCAAAGAGGCCCTTCCACAAAGACTCGCTGCTCTCTTTAGTCCCAGTCATCATCTTCTTCAGCTCACTAAGCCTTAGCTTGGATCTCCAGGAGTCCTTCTTCATGCTCAACTGGGATGTTGGGGTGGATGTTCATGTCTGGATTGTGATATGCTGTGTTAGAATCATATGGCACTGGTCATGGGGTAGTGGGATGAGGTTTGTCTAGGGTTTCTGTCAAGCCCATAGTATACTCTCCTGGTAACAGGAGTCTGCAGGACTCGAGCTTGGTGTCTTTGTTGATATTATAGGTATCAGTAGAGGAAACAGAAGGTGATGACCATAATAGCAGTCAGAAGACCAGTGAAGACATTAAAGGTGTTGGATGTAGTACTGCTCATTTGTGCTAGTCACTGTTATTATCTGACAATAAGTAGCCCTGAGAGAAGCTTTAGCTAAATGTTGCACACTAGTATGACAAACAAGGTCAAACTCATGATGTGACTTGTACTTTAGTCAAGCGTTCAGCAAGCAGGTGCAGGTTTGGCCAATGCAGTGACTTAGATAGCCTAGGTGAGGATGCTTTAGAGTTGAAAGCTAGGTGTATAGAACCTTAGCCAAAGCTGGGGCATAAGGCCACAGCACAGGCTACTTAAATACAGAACAGGTATCCTAAGAATAGTACATACTATGGTCTGAATGCTAGAGGTCTAGAAGGTTGCTTGTTTGTCTGAATAGAAGTAATGTGACAGCTGTGAGTAGTTTAGTACTAAAGTGATATGAGTCAATAGGGTATGATGTGCACATCCAATTCAGGCTGTGCACCAAACCAGCTTTCTCACACAACTGTACTATCAGGAAAGAATAGTCTCAAAGATGGAAGATGGAATTATCCCTTCAGATCTGTAAATCAGAAATCTTTCAGCATCAGAAATTGATGATAGAACAAATGATCATCAGCAGAAACTCATTGTTCTATTGTTTCATCATTCTATTGTCTTTATTGTTCTCCCTTTTTGGTAATCCTTGTAATTTCTATTGTTCTATTGTTCTTATTGTTCTCCTTTCATTGTTTGTGTCATGGACCTCATTGTTCTTTTGTTCTCTATTGTAATATAGATCCTATTGTCTCCATTGTTCTACAAGCCTTTTCATTGTTTTATTTTTCTCCATTGTACCCTAAATTGGTAGTCTATTGTCCTCTACTAGTATATATACAGCTGTAGATTAACAGAAAGAAGAAGGTTTCCCTCAACATCAGTAGGACCCAATATACTTTCTTTCACTCCACCAACTCAGTAGCAGCCTAGCACCACCTAGGGCTCTGAACCAAGGAGTTAGTATATCTTTTACTTCTTAATCATCATCCTCATCTCTCTCTCTACATCCTCACCTATCACCTATCATCCTCATCTATCAACCTATATCACCTAGTTTCTTGTTCTCATATCATACCTAGTCTAAATCTGTCAGAATTGTTGAAGACCCTCCTTCCATGCAAAAGAATTTGCTAGGGAATATATTTCAGTTCACACCAATGTTCCCAAGCCTTACAATGGTACAGCAGTACCTGACAACCGACCTCCTGCCACCTGGGTCAGCAATCACAAACACCCCTATTCCCAGTTCATACGAGCAGGGTATGGAGTTGGAGAACCCAACATCATCGCCCATATACACAGGAATGAACACTATGGCCATGCCACCAGTCCAATCCTCAACGATGACAAGGCCAGGAGATACATGGCCCTCTACTCTCGACAGAGGCCAGAGGACCCCTATGCTGATGAGGCTGCCTGTAGGAGGGTACTACAAGGAAATCCTGAGGCAGGTCTATCTGGTACTAGATAGAGTGGTGGAAACAACCATGATACTTCTCTGGGGATTAGGTTGGGATGAGCTGTTCCATGCCATGGTCTACGGTATTTAAACCGACCCGTATTGGCTGATGACAGAGGCTGGAATTGATTATACAGGAGCTAGGTTGATAGGAGATCAATTTTCAATGATGAACATCATGACGGTAGAGACCTATTGCCTAACGGCTAATGTATGGAATATCATACACCCTGAGGACCTGAAGGAGAGAGGAGCCTCATATCAATGACTGGCACCCATGCCATGTACATTGCCATACAAACCAATATGAGCCACAGTCCAAGGAGCTAACAACGGCTGAACAGGAGGAGATGCTGCACTGGTAGACTCCTCAATCATGCAGAAGCTGTCTCAGTCACCTGTGCTGCCACCACCACTGATCTCTCAGCATAGCCAACCAGGAGGATTTCCAAGTCCTCATCACAATTGGACTCTAACCTCTTCACCATAGTCACCAGCCCCAGCCCTACCCCCTGTACTGCCAGATGGTCTGCCTCTGCCTACACCTCCAAGATGGAACATGGGATCTGCAGATGCCAACTCATAGGGAAAGGTAAAGCCCAAGTTGGTGGCTGAGCCCAAACCGTTTCATGGCAAGGCCAACGAACTATGACAGTTCTTCAACCAGTGCAAAACTTACTTCGGGGTGTTTGCTGAACACTTCAGCCTGAATAGCTGAGGGGACAATCCCTACTGAATCACCTTTGCTACAGGGTACTTCAGGGATGATGCCCAGCTGTGGTGGGACCAGCAGGAACATGTGTATCAGGACTCCATTAGAGGCCACTGGTGATACCCAAAATGGTTCAACTTTCGTGCCCAGATAGAGAATAGGTTTAGAGAGGAGGCCAAAATGGCCATCAAGAAGCAGAAGTGGCAGATGCTCCAACAGAAGAACTTCAAATTGGCCATCGAATTCTTCATGTGCTTTGAGAAACTAGCCATCAAATGCAATGAGTACAGCAACAAGAAACAGATCTTCAAGATAGTTGAAAAGGCCATATGGCCTACTGTCAAGAGCACCATCATGCATGGCAACAATGATCACCCCACCACCTATGCCGAGTGGAAACACCACATCGAACGAATCAATGCCAATTACCACTACAATGTAGCTCAGCAGGAGGGGAACCCCAACAAGCCCTCCTTGAACAACTCAAGTCGAGGCAACCAAAGTAGTGGAGGATTGTTGGGAAAAGGTAACTCCAGCGACAAGAAGGATGTCTCGGGCACCACCTATGGCAGAGCGGGTCAGCCAATGGAAATTGATTAGCTGAAAAAGGACTGACTCTGCTTCAAGTGTGGATTACCAAATCATATAGCATGGGACAACAAGTGTCCAGATGACAAGTCGAAATGGAAGAAGGTAAAGATGCCACCAAGGAAGAAGGCTGATGCTGCCAGGCTTAGGCAATTATTGGCTGAAGTGGAGAAGGAAGAAGCGATGGCAAGTACGTCAAAGGAGGAGGAGGTAAAAGACAAGTCAGTGAAGAACTAAGCAGTTCTTCTTCATCAACAGGACTTTCAGTTTCTACTGGTGTGGTAGTATACATCAGTCTTGACATAGACTGGTGGGCGCAGGTCGTTGGCTGACAGAAGTTGCGTAGCCAAGGATTTGAAGTAAGAAGAATAGACGAGTAGTAACTAGGTATATGTAGTCAGTAACAGAGGGTTAATGAGAGCTCATGGTGCGCAATATTGGTACTCAGAACTCAGGACTTGAAGCTCGAACATGGTGGACAAAAAGCAAGAGTCTATTTTCCAAGGTACGGCTTGACTTGTACAGTTAGGGGATGGCCACACACATTCTCTTGCATCGCCAGGGCCCTGCTATGACATCCGGGAATGTAAGCGAAGAAGAAAAGATAAGAAAATAGTCCATTGGCAAAGTGAAAGTCCATAGCTAGGCCTCAACATTGAACAATTGCTCCACCTGGGATTAGCACAACTTAGTATAGGGAGAGTACACTGCCACCCTCAGCATGGATGAACGGGTCATCAATCCATCATCGTCTCAATCCTCAGCGCAGTCCGAGGTGGTTACAGCCATTGCAGTCTCATCCTTGCATCCTGTGTGTACAGTAGAGGTGGATGTTCAGCATGAAGATGGGGATAAGGAAGAGCACATAAGAATTTCAACTGTGAAGTGTAAGCAAAGAAAGAAAGGTATAATGGGACTGGATAAACAACACCACAACCTAGACCAATTCTAACGTTCCCTCATTTGGTATAGCTCAGTTGTCATTGAGGAGAGCCCCATGTGAGTCAGTGCCTTGATCGACATGTCATCATTCACATTGAGAATTTAAACTTGGCCTCATTTGAGCAATAGTGCCCAAAGTTTCACGTAGTGAAGAGAGATTAACCTATAAAATGAGAGGGAAGAGAAAAGCAGTATGTAGTCATGAGAGAAGGAAGGAAAGCACAAGGAACTGAAAAAGGAAGGATGCATCAGCATGCCTAGTGGCATCAATTCCACGAGCATGGCAATGTGTACTGCCACACTGGTGCTACACATGTGATTCCTGCTAGACAGACTTATACTATTTCTGTAGGTGCATCTATGCCCAATACATGCATTTCACAGCATTCCACTGTGACCAATTTTGAACCGCAAGCTGCAAACAGAGTAGAAGGAATTTCCCCCACCTCTTCAGAGGTACTGAACCCAAACTGTCAGGACATGCTGCTTGGTGGTGGTGCTGACGACACAAGAGGTCAAGATGACGGCTGAGCCAGGGTCCAACTCTTGGAGAAGCAGGACTCAGCTGCAATAATTCTGAGCAAGGTCAGTGTTCCTGCTGGAGGCATTGAACCTAAAATGAGTCAGTGCCCACAGAAGCCAGCAAACTGCTTGGGAAAAGCTGGTGCAGAGCCAGCAGAAATGGTAGAGGCCTGTAGCATAACAGAGCTCTGAGAAGGTTTGACAGTAACCAACACCATTCCCAGAAGTAGGAGCAATGACTGGCCTCAGATCAAGCTCCCAGGAAAGTCAGTGACCAACAAGGAGCAACCATCTGGGATTGTCACTGGCAGAACTCCCTCAGTATCAAAGAATGCGATTGCGGCAAAGAACAGCGACTTACAGTCTGGGCGTTTCTTTCAAACGATAGACCCCAATGTCATTATCAAGCCCGACAGAGAAATACAAGTATACCAGGTGTGTCTTTCTCATTCTTATAATGGCACTGGGGGCTTGTGTCTCTCAGTGGGTGAGCAGGTGAGATCATTATGTTCCCCAAAGAATGCAGTAACCATGGAAGAGGTCCTAGATGAGGAGGACAATTTCAGTTATCTACAGAGTTTGAAGAACTCTAAAAAATCTTCCCTGTGTGGGCCATCCCCAAGTGGAAAAGTCTCTAGTAGCAAAAGCAAACAGGCAGGAGTCCAAGTAACTGTAGAAGCACAAAGGGCCACAAAACCTACAGTGAAAGGTGACCAGAGGAAGACCATGGTGCCAAAAGGGGGAAACCCCGAGTACTCATTGTCAGAGTACCCTGAATGGTGGTGGATGCAACTGTTCAGTCCAGACTAGACCTGACACATGCTCTGCCTTGCCAAAATGGCCAGCAAGGTGTGAGGAGTGTTGAACGAATAGGTCCATCCCCGACATTTAACTGAAGTCAACAATGATCTGATGGAGAGTTTGAAGGAAAAAGTGCAGGAGACATACCTGAACCAAGAGGAAGTGCTGGAATGATTAGACAATCTCCAACATCTGCCTCAGTACATAAGGGGTGAGAGAGGATGAAGTGTCACTATCAAGCTTCAACTGGAAACAGTGGACACTCTGGATGCCTATAACATCACAGCATTAGTAGACAGTGGGTGCACAGGCAGCACTATAGATTGAAAGTGGGCAGCTAGTCATTTCCTCAACACCTGAAAAGCAGCAAGGTCGACACCTGTGTACAATGTGGATGGAACCTGTAACAAAGGAGGTGATATCATCAAATATGTGGAAGTATGGCTAGGGATCAGAGACCACAGCAAGATCATAGAACTGGTGGTAGTAGACCTAGGAATCACCCCAATATTTCTAGGCCACAATTGTCTTCAACAGCACAATCCTACTATTAGCTGGAAGACAGGAGCGGTAGTACTTGCAAAGTGTAGTTGTTGAAAAATTCTGTTCAAATTACCGGATGAAGGACCAGACGCCAAATAGGGAGAGGAATTTGAGGAAGGAGACACCATTCTTGTAGTAGACTTCAAAGAAGCTTTTCATGTATGAGCCATGGGAACAAAATCCAATGAGTTAGCAGCCAGAGAGCATGAGAAGAAAGAAGAAAAGACATTTGAGGAGTTAGTACCAGAGCAATACCGGGAGTACAAAGACTTATTTGACAAAGCCAATTTTGACAAGTTACCAGCATGAAAACCATGGGACCATGCTATTGAGCTGATCCCCAATGCCAATGCCAGTCTAGACTGCAAGGTATACCTGTTAAATCCCATTGAGCAGAAGGAACTCGATAAATTTTTAGACGAAAACCTATCCACCAGAAGGATACAATCCTCTAAGTCACCCATGGCTTCTCTGTTCTTTTTCATCAAAAAGAAGGACAGAAAGCTATGTCCAGTTCAAGATTACCAGAAACTAAATGAGATAACGATCAAGAATCATTATCTGTTTGTTAAGCACTAACTCTAATCTGAACCAAGGCTGATCTCTATCCTGTCACTTGTGTTCAGTGATTCAGTGTTAGAGAGGCATTTGGTAGATTGCAAGAAGTTAGGTGTTACTTTAGATAGCGAAAGCAAGGAGCTTGTAAGAGTTAGAAGTATATAACCTTAGCTGAAGCTGGAGTCTAAGGCCACAGTGTAGGCTAGCTTAAATACATGTTAGACTCATACTAAGAATAGCACCTACAAGGGCACATGCAGTGAGAAATACACCTGCTAACAAATGAGGAGTGAGGACACTAAAAGAAGTGTACTCCTGACGAATGAGAGTAAAGAGCACATATCACCTGCATCTGCGCAGGACTCCATCTGAATAGGCCACATCACATAGACTGCCCTTGACCAATGGT